GAGCAACCTCCTTCCTCAGCAGAATAGCTTAGGATTTTGTTTATTATTATTAATTTTTTAGTTGTGTTTGTAATGAACAAGTTTGTAATTAATTTTTATTGATTTATAAAATTTTTGAAGTTACTTTTGGTGTGCAGTTTTGATGTTTGATTGCTGTTTTGTTTCAAGTAAATCACTTCGGATAAAATAAAGTGACTTTACTTAACACAAGGAACTGACCTCGGACACATAGTAAAATGAACAGCAAGGGAATTGACTTCGGATATACATGAGGCAGACCTCAAATATACAAATGAAAACAGATGAAGTAAATCACTCCAAAAGTAAAGTGTAACCTAGAAAGTGAAGTGACTAAATAAGTCACAATGATTTAACTTTGGGTATAAGTGAAATTCACTTCCAATATACAGAAGGGTAGAAAGAACTGAATCACTTCGAATGTGAAGTGAAACTTATTGATGAAATAAATGAATTGAGCTCGTATATACATTAGATTGAGCAGAAAGAGAGAGAGTAATGGTGGTTATAAAAATAAGACAAAGTTCACTTGAAAGAAGTGTATTAAAGGTAAAAATTTTTCAAGTTATTGACATTCTAGATTCTAGGAACCCTTTTTCCTTCAGTGTCCCGTAGGATATAAACATCTGGGTGCGGCACTTCGGCTACAGTGTAGGGGCCTTCCCAGTTTGGTGCTAACTTTCCGAATCGAGTTTCAAACCCCTTTAGACCAGCTTTCCTGAGAACAAGGTCTCCTACTTTGAATGTTCAGGGTCGAACTCGTTTGTTGTAAAAGTTGGCTATTTTCTGCTTGTAAACTAGAGTTCGAAGTCGTGCTTCTTCTCTGACTTCGTCAAGCAAATCAAGATTCTCACGAAGTAGTTGTCCATTTCGTTCTTCATCGAAATGGGTGACCCTGAAGCTTGGGACTCCTATCTCGATAGGAATGACTGCTTCGGTACCAAAGGCTAGGTGATAGGGTGTTTCACCTATTTCAGTTAATTATAATTTTAGAATGTGCTTTACACATTATGCATATTTTATCTAAGGTAAAGCCGTAGAAGAAGAAGTAAAATAATATAAAAGTTAATCAAGTAAACCAGGTTTGAAGTAATACATGTGGCAATTCGGCTTGTGGTTCTGTATGCCCAGATGATGTTGTTGAGCTCGTTTGCCCACTTGGCCTTATGTAGCTCTAACATTGGTTTTATTCCCTCGAGTATAACTTTGTTGACAGATTCTACCATCCCATTAGATTCCGGGTGGTACACCAAGGTGAACTGTAATTTGATCCCATAACTGGAGCAGAAATCTCTGAATGAGGAGCAGTTGAACTGAGTTCCATTATCAGCCACAATCTGGTTCAGGATTCCATATCTGTAGATGATTGAGCTGAAAATGAAGTCTTCAACCTTTTTGGAGGTAAGATTGGATAATGGCCGAGCTTTAACCCATTTTGTAAAATAATCCACACCAACAATCAGATGGGTTACACCTCTTACCCCCTTCATAAATGGACCTAGAAGATCAAGTCCCCATTGAGCAAATGGCCAAGGTGCTACCAGATTAGTGAGCTCTTTTGCTGGTTGGTGAATTAGATGTGCGAAGAACTGACATTGCTGACACCTCTGTACGAACTGAGTGGCATCTTTACACATGTTGGGCCAATAATATCCTTATCGAAGGACTTTATGAGCCAAAGTTTGAGCACTAATGTGACTTCAGCAGACACCTTCATGCACCTCCCGTAGTGCGTATTCAGCCTCATAAGGGTTTAAGCAACGGAGTAGAGGGAGTGAGAAAGATCTCTTGTAGAGAATTTCATTAACAAGGGTATACCGAGATGCTTTCTTCCTCAACCTCATTTCTTCTTGTTTATCTGCAAGCACTGTTCCATCTCGTAAAAAGGAGATAATTGGATCTGTCCAGCTCGCTGTGCTAGGATCTGTGCTGATTTCCATCATTTTTGGTTTTAGGAAGCTAGGCTCGTCTAGAATTTCAATAAAGACTGATTTGGAGCTTTGGTTGCCATCAAAAGCAAATTTGGAGAGGGAATCTGCCTATTCATTTTCAGCTCGGGGTATTTTGCTCAAATGAAATTTCTGAAATTTGGACTTTAGCTCGGCCACCAGAGTTGCATACTTCATCAAACAGGATAAACCACTTCACAAATTGAGTTGACCTGATTGACTACCAGTTGTGAATCACTGTATATTTGTATTGCTGTAACCTTCAGTTCTATTGCAAATTGTAAGCCAAGTAGTAGAGCCTCTTACTCAGCCATATTGTTGGTGGCATCAAAATTAAATTTCAAAGCATGTTCACTTCAATAACCATTTGGGCCGAGTAGGATTGCATTAGCGCTAGAACCTTTGTTACTAGATGCTCCATCAGCATATAGAATCTAAATGTCCAGCTCGGGCTGGGAATCAGAGTGAGCTGAGGTGCATTCTACTATGAAATCTGCAAGAGCCTGAGCTTGGATTGCTGACATTTGCTGAAATGTTATCTCAAATTGTCCTAGTTCAACTGCCCATTTGATCAATCTTCTTGAGCATTCTGGCTTTTGTAAAATTTGTTTGAGGGGTTGGTCCATGAGGACTATGATTGGATGTGATTGGAAATATGGTCTCAGCTTCCTAGTCGAGGTGACAACTGCTAAGGCTGCTTCTTTGGCAATAGAATATCTGATTTTAGCTCTATGTAATACACTACTAGTATAATAGACTGGCTTCTGTTGCTTCCCTGCTTCTCTTACTAGCACGGAACTAATAGCTTCATCTGATATACCGAGGTACAAGTAAAGAATTTCTCCATCATTAGCCTTTGTCAGCAGAGGGGGTGAGCTACAATAAGACTTCAACTCGTCAAATGCAGCTTGGCATTCTAAATTCCATTCAAATTTCTTTTGTTTGCTAGATTCATCCTTCTGGGCTGCTAATCTCATGATCTTGAAGAATGGCAGGCATTTATTTGTTGAGTTCGAGATGAATCTATGAAGAGCTGCTACTTTCCCTGTCAGCCTCTATACATCTTTTACTGACTCCGGTGGTTCCATCTCGGCTACTGCTTTGACCTTCTCGGGGTTAACCTCTATCCCTCTTCTGGACACCATGAAGCCTAGAAATTTTTCCGACTCCACACCGAAGATGCATTTTGCTGGATTCAACCTCATTCTGTTCTTTCTATGATTGTTGAATGTCTCCTCGAGGTCAGTTAAGTGATCTTCAGCTTTCAAACTCTTCACCATGATATCATCAACATAAACTTCTAGATTCTGGCCTATTTGAGCTCGGAATATGATGGTAACCATCTTCTAGTAAGTGACACCTGCGTTCTTTAAGCCGAAAGGCATCATCACATAGCAATAGATTTCGTCTTCGGCATAGAACGAGGTTTTCTCTTCATCCTCAAGAGCCATCGGGACTTGGTGGTAGCTAGAGTATGCATCCAAGAGACTTAATCTCTCGTTTCCAGAAGCTGCCTCAACTAGCTTGTTAATGTTCGGCATTGGGTAACAGTCTTTTGGACATGCCTGGTTGAGATTAGTATAATCGATGCACATCTACCATTTGCCATTTGCTTTTTTCACCAACACAGGATTGGCGACCCATTCACAATAATCGACCTGTCTGACGAAGCTAGCTTGTCAAAGTTTTTCAACTTCTTCTTTTATGACCTTTAACCTCTCCCCCCCAAAGAGGCGTTGCTTCTAGGCCACTGGTTTTTTGAGTGGATTGGTGCTGAGTTTGTGTTGAGATACCGAGGTGGGAATTCCTGGCATGTCTGCCGAGGTTTATGCGAAAACATTTTTGTTAGCTCGGAGAAAGGTTATCAACTCTACTCTCTCCTCAGGGTTCAACTGAGTTCCTATCTATGTTTTCCTGTTTGGATCTTTTTCATCAATTTGTACCTTCTCTACATCTTCACCTGAAGCAGCTTGGGTTTCATCCTCAGGTCAGTTATCAAGGATTTCAACCCCCATCACTTGCCGATTGTCATGGATTTCCTGTGGAGGGTTTTCTGCTAATTGATCTTTGTTTTTCTGTGGTCTTGTGACCGAAGTGAGATAGCAATGCCTGGCCACTTCCTAGTTACGTCTGAGTGTTGCAATTCCCATGGGGGTTGGAAATTTCATGCAGAGATTAGCTTGAGAGACCACAGCTCGGATTTCTATTAATGTGGGTTGGCCAATGACAACGTTGAAAGAGGAAGGCATCTTGACCACCAGAAACCGAACTGAAGGAGTCACATAGGTTTGGTTACTTCCAAATGCAACATTCATGGTTAGGACCCCTTCGACTGGAACTGGTTGGTTGTTGAGGCCATATATAGGACCATTGTAACATTGTGGTAGAGCTGGGTCGAGCCCTAGGCTCTCAAAACAGTGATAGTACATGATGTCAGGTGCACTGCTAGTGTCAACAAGTACACGCTGGACTTGACAGTTGTTGATCATTACTAAGATGACCAAAGGGTCGTTGTGAGGTGTTACCACCCCTTCAAAATCAACAGGTGTAAAAGTGATTGGTTGATCTTTTCAGTCAGCATCATCAAGTTTCCTTTTCTGAGCTCGGTTCTGGTGCTTGACCTCTCTAACATATAACTTTCTTTGTTTGGAGCTCATCCTTCCTGCTTCCAATTCTCCTGTAATCATGTGTATAATTCTAGCTGGTGGTAGAAGTGGAGGTGGGGCTTGTTGATGCCTTACTCCTTGCCTATTTGGTGGATTACGGATTCCTTGGGGTTGTGTCCCCTGTTTTCTGACAAATCTTGGCTATTCAGCTCTATGAATGTATTCATTCAACATTTCTTTCTGAGCTAGGCTTTCCAACTCGGACCTCAAGCTGTTGCATTGCTCTATTGTATGACCGTGATCTTGATGAAAGTCACAATATCTAGTATGGTCTCGGCTAGCAGCAGCAGTTCTCATTAGGCCCGGACGCCTTAAGTCCATCTTATTCTTAATCTGTGTGAAAATCTGTGACCTCGGCAAATTAAAAGGGGTCCAAGTAACTGGAGGTTTACTTGCAGATTGTTGTGGTGGTGCTGAGTTCGGCCTTCCGAATCTTGATGTGGAGGTTGACATTGGACCTCGGTTCTGTGCTGTCCTCATTTGTTTCCTGCTCTGATTCTCATTTCTCTAGTCTGGGTTTTGGTTCTTAGAGGGAGTTGGCTTCTGTGACAAGGCACACTCCTCAACAGTTATGAATTTCAGAGATCTATCATTCACCTCGCTAAAAGTGGTGGCAGGATGCTTGAGCAAACTATCTCTGAATCTCTCATGGTTAAGACCTAAGATCACAGCCGCAATTCCCACGGCCTGGTCGAAGGAACTAACTTCCAACACTGCATCATTGAATCTGCTCATGTAATTCTTCAAAGATTCTCCGTCCCTCTGTTTAACTTGCATCAGCTTAGAAGTAGTTTTCTTGATCAACCTTCTACTGGAAAACTTTATGGCAAAAGCGGATGCCATTTCTATATAAGAGCTGATTGACCTTAGAGGTAGGTTGTAATACCAGGTTTGAGCATTACCTCGGAGAGTAGAGGGAAAGATTTTGCACATCAACGCGTTAGAGGTGTTCTGAGCTTGCATACAAGAGTAGAAAGCATATAGATGATCATCGGGATCCTTCGTCCCATCATAAGTCTCAAGCTGAGGTATTTTAAAACTAGCGGGATAGGGTTCCAATGTGATGTTGGTGTTCAGAGGATGTGGTATGGAGTCAGCAGGTGTGGAGGTGGGGCACCGCTGTTCAGCTACCAGTTTTTCTAAGTTGTCCAGACGTCGAGTGACATCATCAGGAAGGGGTTGCTGAGCTGGTGCTATGTGAGATTGACCTTGAGATTCACTAAGAGCAGGAGCATGTTGAACTAGTTAAAGGTTTTGCTGTGGAGCTGGGGTTTGTGGAGCAGGGTTGAGTAAATTGATGAGGGGATCACCAGGGTTGTTTCGAGCTAAGAGTTGAGCGAATACTAGTTGAAAGACACCAAACTGTTGTTGCATGGCAGCAAGCTGAGCTGTAACTACATCTTGGTTGGCGGTGGAAGCTGAGTTGTGAACTGAGTTGTGAGGTTGGTTTTCATCTCCTCCTTCTGCATGATCAACAGGGGGGGACATATTTGGGATCGGAGGTGGGAGGTGAGGTGGAAGGTTGCTAGGGACCTGACCTCGTCCAAGAGGCTGAGATGAGTTTCCAGCTCGGACTGATCGAGTGTTAACCATGATGAGAGAGCAACAAGAAAGCTTTCAGTTCGGATTCCCACAGACGGCGCAAAATGTAATTGCACCAAACCAGAAGTCCTTCTTCAGTCTGCGTCTGCACTTCGGATTGACTTGCAAAGCCCCGAGGTGGAACTCGGGGTAGACACTTTGATGCTTAAGTCAGTAATAATCGGGGCTACCTATAGAATGAAGGTAAAAAGAACTTAGGGTTGGTTTCAATTACCCTTTTTGACGTGGCCCTTGGGTGGTATTTATAGGCTCCAGTGAGGAACCCACGTGGCATGCCAAGCAAGATAATCGGAGTCTGACATATCTCTCCAGACGGTTATTTCGGGACCGGGAAATTGAGAGATATTCAGATGCGAGAATGTCCATCGTAACTGTTGTGCAGCTTGTCATAAGGAATCAGGTGCGGGCATGCTTATTATCGCTGTCATGTAGCTGTTTGAGCGGGAAGTGTTGGATTTATCTTTCACTTCGGTTATAAAAGAATTACTGTCGTACGTCTGAGGTTGAACACCTCGGACTTATCCTTACAGGATGTAATTGTGAGATGAACTTAATTTATGAATAATAATGTCTTAATTATGAACTTTATGCTTTATATAATTATTACTTCCTTATAGATGGTGAAAAATTTACCACTTAATTTATTTGGATAAGATGACCGAAAATGTGGTTTTAAAGGATAAGATTGTTACACTAAAAGCACATTTATAAATTTAGTAAAGTACCTTTAATGAAAATGTTGTTTTCATATGTTAATTTATTATAGAATGCCAAGCAAACTTTTGGTTCAATATTGTAAGATTTTGATCGTTCGTTCTACCAGAAAATTAAATGCAAAATGGCTAATCAAGCGCCTAAATTATTAAAAACGGAATTATCCGGAAGAAGCTGCATGTGATTGTAATTAATTCTCGTGTTCCCTAACCCATATGGTACAATCTTAACGTCAACTTCAATAAATTTCTTAGCAGTCACAATACAGTGTTGTTTTGGTGTAGGGTGAAAATTTTGCCTTAATTACTCAATTTTTTTCAAAAAATAATTATTATTTAAAAAATTTTTTAAATTAAAAATTTTAAAATAATTTATATATCCACTTATATTATATTCTACTATAAAGAAAAATCGAAGATAAAGTTGAGTTTTTTGTGATAAGATAAATAATTAAATTAAATAGATAATGTTAGGATTAAAAAAAATATTTATTTATCTTAAAAATTGAAAAAATGAAAATTAATTTGGGATGGAGAGAGTATGATGAAAACCAAGAGAAAAGTTATAGATAATGATATAAACTTTGTTAATTTCTAAATAAGACAATAAAATTTTAATTTTTTATTTAAAAATATTAATTTTTAACTTGTTTTATTTGTATATGTAACTTTGTATTTTTTTTAATCTAGCTAAGGATTAATTAGATAGTGATGATGATGTGGCAAATGTCTTTTTTAGCCATTCAATTGATTTCTAAATGAAAAAAAAAAATACAAAATTTTCATATTTGAATAAAAAAATTAAAAATTTACTGTTTTATTTAAAAATCAACAAAATTTATATCTTTAAATAAAAAAATAAAATTCGTATCTTTATTTGCATTTTTCTCTGAAAGCAAAACAAGAGCATGTAATGGACTTAAAGTATAAATTCAACTTCTATACTCTATTTTAAACTCGAATTAAAAATACTCTAAAGTTTAAATTTACTAATAATTAATATTTATTTTGTAGACTAAATTTAAAATTTAAGTTATAAGATCAGTATTTAAAAAAATAAATTTTTTTGAACATAATAGGTTGATAAGAGAGTATATTCT